TAAAAAAAAAAAAAAAAAAAGGACCAGGTTTGCTGGTCTGATAGAGCCTGAACGACTGGGAATATGACCCCTAGCTGCCATTGAGGTCTGGAATTGAACCCACTCCTGTGGCTTCCAGCCAAAGAAAAGATAGGCATATGAGCTGAACATTTACGTTAGGTAATACACTCCTTGGAGAGATCCATCATGGTAGAAGAGAAGGCTGAGTATGCATAGGGAGAAAGCTGGGGTGGGGGGGACAGGAGTGCATGGGAGGGAAGGACACAGGGAAGAGGTAACCATGGGAAGAAAGTGGGAGGCGAGCTGTTGCATTGTGGGAAATTGTAGTCAATGTCATGAGACAAAGTGTATGTGAGCAGCTGTATGGAAAGTGAACTTGCTCTGTAAACTTTCACCCAAATCAAACAAAAATTAAAAAAAAAAAGAAAGAAAGAAAAGAAATTAACCGTGGGAATGTCCCCTTAGCAGCCTCTGTGTAAACCTTGTGCTCATCTTGTGGAAAGCTTGAACCGGTGTAGACTACTGCCAAGGGCAGCTGCTGACCCCAGTGGGCAACATTGTCTCATAGGTTTGGTGAACTCAACAATGAAAACTTCCTCTGAATCATAAACAAACACCATTCTTACTGGTCTAATACTTGTAGTTAGGTGCCCTCCAGGTGGCTACAACTCATAGTGACTCCTTGTACAACAGAATAAAACACTACTGCGTTCTGCGCCATCCTCACAATCCTTACTATGATTGACCCTATCCTTGCAGTTACTGTCCAATCAATTTTGTTGAGGATTTTTTCCTTTTTTGAGGAAAATCTACCCCTTGGTAGAGCTGACACTCTACCAAGCATGACATCCTTCACCAGGGAAAGGTCCTTTCTGACACTAGAAAAGTAGGCGAGACAAAATCTCACCATTCTCGCTTCCAAGAAGCATTCTGGCTGCACTTTTTCCAGGACAGATTTTTTTCTTTCTTTTGTCAGTCTATGGTATTTTCTACATTTTCCCCCAACACCATGTTTCAAAGGCATTAACTCTTCTTGGTCTTCCTTATTCATTGTTCAGCTTTCACATGCATATGAGGCAATTTAAAATACCTTGGCTTGGGTTAGGCAAACCTTAGTCTTTGTTTCAAAAAGTGGGGCCTTTGTTTCTTAACACTTTGAAGAGGTCTTTTGCAGCAGATTTGCCCAGCTCAATAAGACAACTGATTTCTTGACTCCTGCTTCCATGGGTGTTGATTGTGGAACCAAGTAACATGAAATCTCTGACAACTTCAATCTTTTCTCCATTTATCATGATGTTACTTATTGGTCCAATTGTGAAGATTTTTGTTTTCTTTATACTGATGTATAATTCATACTGAAGACTAGTCTTAGATTTTCACCAGTAAATACTTCAAGTCATCTTCCCTTTCAGCAAGCAAGGTTGTGTCATCTTATGCTGATATGCTGATATGTCAGCATGTCACAGGTTGTTAATGAGTCTTCCTCCAATCCTGATGTCTCGTTCTTCTTCATATAGTCCAGCTTCTCAGATTATTTGCTCAGCACACAGATGGAATAAGAATGGTGAAAGGGTACAACCCTGACGCATACCCTTCCTGATTTTAAACCACGCAGTATCCTCTCATTTTATTTGAGTGACAGCCTCTTAGTCTATGTACAGGTTCCTCATGAGCACAATTAAGTGTTCTGGAATTCCCATTGTTCATAATTGTGGTAGTTATATTTGTGTGTCAACTTGGCTGGGCCTGGTTGAGTGGGTGGGCAGCTGGTGGTAGTTATTCCCCATGATGAGACTGGCAATCAACTCCATGGTGGAATCTGCCATGAGCAGCTGAGATCTGCCGTTGGGATGTGGTCTGCTTCCTGTACATAAGAAGCTCTGGGAATGGTCTCTAGCCTATGGCACGCTTGGACCCTGCATGTGGTCATGTCATTGCTCAGCAGCCTGCTATACTCTGCCGACCTTGGGACTTACAATGGACTTAAGTTAATGGCCTGCCGTGTGGTTTGGTAACATTGGGACTGTGTCTTTTTACGTGTCAACCTTGGGGCTTCTCAGCCTCAGCAGCCAGCAACTGTCTGAGTGAAGAAATGCCTCTAGCTCCAGTGGGCCGGGAGCAGGAGGCAGAGCTGGACCCCAAGGTTGAGGGGCTTTCACCGAGCCCCTAGAGCCTGGCACTTTGAACTCAGACTTAAAGTCTCAAAATTTTAAGAATAAACTCCTGTTTGTTAAGGCCATCCCATTTGTGGTATATTTCCTGTCAGAGTGGCACTAGATAACCAAAACAACAATATTATTCATACTTTGTTTTGATCCACGTAGTCGAATGCCTTCACATAGTCAGTAAGACACAGGTATACATCTTTCCAGTATTCTTTGCTTTCAGCCAAGATCCATCTGACATCAGCAATGTAATTTCTTCTTCCACGTCCTCTTCTGAATCCGGCTTGAATTTCTGATAGTTCCCTGTCAATATACTGCTGCAACTGTTTTTGAATGATCTTCAGCAAAATTTTACTTATATGTGATATTAATAATATTGTTTGATAATTTCCACATTCTGTTGGATCACCTTTCTTTGGAATGGGCACAGATACCAATCTCTCTCAGTCAGTCGGGCAGGTATCTGTCTTCCAAATTTCTTTGCATAAATGCAGAAGCGCCTCCAGTGCTGCATCTTTTTGTTGAGACATCTCAATGGGTACTCTGTCAATTGTGTGTCACCACTTCTTCAGTGCAGCTTCCACTTCTTCCTTCAACACCATTCATTCTTAATCATATGCTACCTCCTGAAATAGTTAACCATAGACCAATTCTTTTTGGTACAGTGACTCTGTGTATTCCCTCCATCTTCTTTTGATGCTTCCTGCATCATTCAATATTTTGTCCATAGAAT